GGACGGCCCGGGGGCGGGCGGGGCAGCCGCTGGGCCCCTGCCTGAGGAAGGGGAGCCCCTTCCGCTCTGCGCTAACTTTGGGGTGTGGCAGGGCTCGTGAAGGGCCTGCACCCGGGGCCCGGGCTGCAGCGAGACCTGCGGCCACAAGTCCGCAGTCCGGGTTGTCCGAGGGGAAGGGAGAGAGGCCTCCTCCGCCGCCGCCTCACTTCTGCTGAAGGCCGGCCCCGCCAGTTCCCTGTCACCTGCCTTGCCCTTGCTGACCCAGCCTCAGGTTGCTTCAGAGGCTGAAGCAGGTCGGGTGTTCCAGACTGTTAAGTCTCAGTAAGGAATCTTAAGGGCTGCCACAGTGTGAGTGAGTGCCAGACTCGCACCATGTCAGGGAAGCGGAAGCGGGTGGTGTTGACTATTAAAGATAAACTCGATATAATAAAGAAACTCGAAGATGGAGGCTCTTCCAAGCAGCTGGCGGTGATATACGGAATTGGGGAAACAACAGTTAGGGATATAAGAAAAAATAAGGAAAAGATTATAACATATGCAAGCAGCTCTGATTCCACAAGTCTTCTGGCTAAGAGGAAATCTATGAAGCCATCCATGTATGAGGAACTAGACAGAGCAATGTTAGAATGGTTCAATCAGCAGCGAGCGAAAGGGAATCCCGTATCTGGACCAATTTGTGCCAAACGGGCAGAGTTCTTTTTCTACGCTTTGGGAATGGATGGTGATTTTAACCCTTCCGCTGGGTGGCTAACCCGCTTTAAGCAGCGGCACAGCATTAGAGAGATTAACATTAGAAATGAAAGATTAAATGGAGATGAGACTGCTGTGGAAGATTTTTGTAACAACTTTAGAGATTTTATCGAACGAGAGAATTTGCAGCCAGAGCAGATCTACAATGCAGATGAGACTGGACTCTTTTGGAAGTGCCTACCTTCCAGGACTGCAGTAATTAAAGGTAAATGCACTGTTCCTGGCCACAACTCATTTGAAGAAAGAGTCACTGTTATGTGCTGTACCAACGCAACAGGCTTACACAAACTTAAACTTTGTGTTGTGGGTAAAGCAAAGAAACCTCGCTCCTTCAAGTCCACTGACACCTTAAACCTGCCTGTGTCTTATTTCAGCCAGAAAGGTGCATGGATGGATCTCTCCATTTTCCGGCAATGGTTCGATAAGATTTTTGTACCTCAGGTTCGAGAGTACTTAAGATCTAAAGGCTTACAGGAAAAAGCCGTGCTCTTGCTGGATAATTCCCCAACACATCCAAATGAAAATGTCCTGAGGTCAGATGATGGCCAGATATTTGCAAAATATTTACCACCTAATGTAGCTTCATCGATTCAGCCCTTGGATCAGGGAGTCATAGCAACCATGAAAAGAAACTATCGAGCAGGTCTTCTCCAGAACAATTTGGAAGAAGGTAATGACCTGAAGTCATTCTGGAAGAAGCTGACTCTGTTGGATGCACTTTATGAGATAGCAATGGCATGGAACTTAGTAAAGCCAGTTACCATTAGCAGAGCTTGGAAACAGATTCTTCCTACAATAGAGGAAAAAGAAGGTTTGGACTTTGATGAAGAAGACATTTCTGGGGCTACTGTGGCCACCATTTTACAGCATACCAAAGGACTGGAGAATGTGACTCTGGAAAATATGGAAAAGTGGCTTGAGATTGACAGTACTGAGCCAGGTTACGAAGTATTAACTGACAGTGAAATCATCAGAAGAGCCCAAGGCCAGACAGATGATTCCAGTGAAAATGATGAGGATGGAATTGAACTGATTCCAGAGAAACATATAAATCATACAGCTGCTCTCCAGTGGACTGAGAATTTATTAGATTATCTAGAACAACAAGGTGATATGATTCTACCTGACAGACTGGTAATACGGAAACTTAGAGCCACCATCAGAAATAAACAGAAAATGACAAACTCAAGTCAATAGCAACATTTGAGTTTTATCTTTTGTTATGATAATTGTATTTGTGTGACACTTTGAAATGTGGTTTAATTTCTTCATGTTCTACATTGTCAAACATAGTCCTATGAAATACATATAAAAATGTAACTGAAGTGGTTTGAGGATTGTGTGTCTATCCCCATATGTGTTAATAACAACTACTTGTGTGCAGATATAAATGACACATACTCATATATTTGCTTCTGTAAATTGGTGACCCAAGAGTGGCATTCCCTACATTTTCTAGCTTTAAAAGCTAGATACAGTGAGCACTTCCCTGAATTCTTTTGTTGAATTGAGGGCTTCAATAGCAATTTTGTCTTGTGCTAACTAAGTTAAGTGGTTATCTGGTTTTTTTTTTTATTTGTATAAAATGACTAGATTTCAGGATGTTATATAATAATTAAAAAATGAAGTTCAGTAATGATGGTAGAAATATCTATGAATTATAAAAATACTAGAATCATATTTGTTTTCATACATTTTTGTGGGTGGAAAAGATAATTCTGGAAATGAGTTATGTGTAGGAAGTAATTATTAAATGAGAGAAACTAGAAAGCTGATTTATGAGAGGTATTTTGATCTGTTCATTTGGAGGAAACTGGGTGTTGAAAATTTGGGAAACATTAGGTTTATTTATACAAAGAAGAAAAGGATTTTTTTTATTTTGAGTTGGATAACTATAGAATTATTTATTTACCTAATTTTTCATGAATGTTTTTAATTATATGTAATAATATGAACTCCCACTACTATTTGGGAAACATGAAATTTGAAATTTAATTTTTCTTACTGAATATTTAGAAATATCTATAACTTGAAAATTTTGTCATACTTGGCTGATTTTATTTGATATGAAAAAATAAAGTTTTTATTTTAGATAAATCATATGTTTGTGTTCTGTTTTTTGAAGAAAGCACAAATAACTATGAAGTGCTAGAGATAAAAATTGTTTTGACACAAAAAGGAATTTTGTAATTTGTTTTAAGAGTTTTTACAATCTTTTTTAATTCTGTCTATCCATGCTATTGAAAATAGTCTTCATATATTAAGATTACTATAATTTAAGATTAAATTATATTTATTATAGCATGTCTGGTCTCAATTTATTAAAAGAAATAGAATCAGTCACAGTTTTGAATATTTTGTTTTTTCCATTTGTTGTCTTGGGATTCTAAAACTTTAAAAAGGATTTTTATCTTCCCATAATTTATGTTATCTTCGTTTTATATGTGTGTGTGTGTGTCTAGATTTTTCAAAGTACTAATTTATGATAAGTGTTTAAAATTGTGTTCAAAGCATTAATTCTTAGTGCCTAGTGGAAAAAAGCACTAGAAGTTAACATGCATATTTAACTAGATAAAAATTATTAGTTAAATTGCATATAAAATACTTTTTATAAAATGAAAATATACACTAGAAAACCTCTTCGTTCTTTTTTTGGATTTACATAGTTTTTATGTGAAATGCACCTGTACCATTGCCACCTAGTGGTCAAATCTTCCTGATTGTTGAGGTATTTGGTTTTAAACACTAGTAAAAGGTTCACTGTGTCCTTGACTTGTTCACTTTAATCTGTAACTATCTCTAGACTGGGAAACTCCTCTTCTTTGGGTAAACTAGCAGTTCTGTATTAGTCCAGGATGCTTCTTGAATATTGTTTGTGTTCTAAGTTGTGGACTTTTATTATTTAGTCCTCTTAATTATGAACTAGATGGAAATTCTTATGATTTCTCTTATTATTACTTGGTATAAGTAAACTTTAAACTCAGGTGTTTGACTCTAAAAGCCTATATAATTTTATTACCTAATCAATTTAGCCAAACTCTTACTCTTTCCCAGTATTCAGTATTTATTATTTACTGCCTTCCTCTATCACTTGCCATACATATGGGAATTTTTTTATCTGTTTCCCAGTGCACTGGTGGTAACCATTGCCTTTTCCTTTATTCTTTTTTGAGATTTATCTTCCTCTCTATTTTGTAGTGCTACTGTTAACCTTTTTATATCAGTCATAGCATTTGAAGCTTTGGATTGTCTGCCTTTTAGTTTCCAGGTCACAATGAGAATCATTTCTGACTTCAATCTAGTTAAAGCCAGTATTAGCAAAAAGAACGGTTTGTGTGCA